TCGAAGAGTCCGAATACATAGGTTTGGATCATGGGTTGTGTCTTAGAAAGGAAAAGTTTATCAAGACTTAGTACGCGTTTGGACATAAGAATTTTAAAATTCCGAAAAAAAAAAGTGAAAAAAAATTCAAGTTAAAGTGGTATTTAAAAATTCGAGTTGTGTATGGACATGAATATAATTTGGGTGGTTTAGGAATTTTTTTGAGTGATCTGAAGTGAAAACTTTGAAAAATAGCTTTTGGAGTTTTTCAATTTTTTAAAAATACCAAAATTCATTTTCAAGTGAAATTAAAAATTTGATGGCCGAACACTGATTCCAAAAAAAGTAAAAAAAAAAAAATTAGTCCAAACGGGCCCTTAGTTCTTAAGCTTGCACTTTTTTTTTGTTAAAGGCGGTGTTGCGTTGTGCTTCCCATGTTCTGCATTTTAGTAATAACTTTTTCACATAACCATTGAGCTTTAATTTGCTCATGGACTAGTTGGCTAAATTTTCAAAAAAAAAAAAAAAGAAAAAGAAAAAAGAAAGGTGGCTAGAGATTTGATGCATTTTGCAGCTTAATGTAACATAAAAGCAAATTAAATTTCGGGAGGTGATCTAGTGGTTAATGAAGTTGGCGAAACTCATACAAAATCAGGATTAAATCCCTAAGCAGTCATACATTAATCCACCCTTCACGAGCTAAGAAAAACAGTTATTCAACATCAAACTCGGAGTTTTTCTACTTTCAACATATCGTATACACCATATACATTAAAAATTTGACCTATTTATACTGCATAATTTTTCAGCATCTCTTCGCTCTTTGTTCAACCTATGCAATAGTTTTCTTATCTTTCTCCCAACCGCTTCAATGCTTATAATTTGAGAAATAAAAGAAAAGCCCTCTCTTGTAATACTTTCTCCGTTCACTTTTACTTGCCACATTTCACTTTTTGAGAGTCAATTTGACTAATATTTGAAGCTAAATTGTATTAGATTTTCTTAATATTTAAAATAAAAATTTAGAAACGAAAACTATACGAAAAGTACTATAATTTGTAATTTGTCTCATATCAACATGGTGAAAATATACATGTTAAAATGTTGGTCAAAGTTTATATAGTTTGACTCTCGATAAAACGAAACATGACAAGTAAAAGTGAACGGAGAGAGTAATACAAATAATGACTCTCTTCTTGAAACATGATATTGGATTTCTAACTCCAAATATACACATTCCTTGTTGTTGTATCGTCAAGTAAATTAAATTCTCATGTTCTATCCAATTCTCCAACAGAAGTACAGAATAGAGCAGAAATCACAGTCGTCTACTTCAAAGAAACAAGATTGGGAAAGCTCTAAAAAGAAGAAAACTAAAACCATTTGCACCGCCCCTAGTTTAGAAATTGCTCTTTATTGCGGAGTTTCTTTTATTTATTTGCTTATTCATTTTCATTTTCAATCTGTAGTTTACTAAGGGTGTGTTTGGTATGTATCTAGATAATGTTTTCATGGAAAATGAGTGGTGTTATCACTTATTTTTTCTTATTTGGTTGGTGAGTGAAAAACTTTTTTCTGGAAAATATTGTTCTGTGTTTGGTTAGAGAGTAAAAAATACTTTTTAGAAAAATAAATTTTTGCTACTATCCCCCCCCCCCCCCCCCAGTCCCTCGTGTTTTACTGTCGTTCTTCCCCTTCCCCTCCTACCTCCCTCCCCCCTTTACCCCCTCCCCCCCCCCCAAATACCCAATATTTTCATGACTCTATTTTCTTCAAGAATTTAATTATTCTTCTAAAAATTCATACAAACCCAAAAGGAACTAATGTGTTGCTTTACTTTTTTACGCAAAAATAATATTGAAAGTTGTGCTCCATAGCTAAACTAAATACTATTTTTTTGGGTTAAAAAAGAAAGTACTATTTCTACAACATGAAAATAAAGTACTCATTTTGTTGAATGAAAAAAAATACTTTTTCTACATCATGAAAAGAAAATACTCATTTTGTTGAAATGGAAGAAAAAACTTTTCTACATCATAAAAAAAGAAAATACTCTTTTTGTTGAAATAAAAGAAAATACTTTTTACTGTATCATTTTATTGAAATAAAAAAAAAAAGTACTTTTTACTACATCATTTTGTTAAAATGAAAGAAAATATTTTTTCTATATCATGAAAAGAAAGTAATTTTTTTTTGCTAAAATGAAAAAAAAAGTTCTATATCACGAAAAGAAAATACTCATGTGTTGAAATGAAAAAAATAATACTCTATCTATAACATGGAAAGAAAGTACTATTAATAATATTCTCTATTTAGGGTGGAGGTGAGGGTGGGGCAAAGGTGGATGGAGTTAGGGTGGGGGTGGTTTGGTGGGGGTTGGTGGGGATGTGGAATGGGAGGAAGGTTGGGAAACAGTTTTGGAAAACGTTTTCTCTTCTCCCGATAGGGAAAATATTTTCTTCCAATTGGAGGAAAATGAGTTCATGAGCAAAATATTTTCCAAAACATTTAAGTCAACCAAACATAGAAAAATTGAAAAACAGTCTCCGAAAAATATTTTCCTTCACATCAAATACACCCTAAAAGAAAGCAGAGTTTCAAATACCGTGCTAGAAATTCTCCACATATTTCATACTACTAACGGTCTAAAAACTATATATTCGGTCTATAATAAGTGACTTTCTGGATTTTGTCACACCTCCTAAGAAAATACTAACACCTAGAGAAGAAAAAGATATATTAACTAAATTACCCTTAATTAAAATTTGCATAATGTTACCTTGACACACTGAGATATGTAAATAAGAGCAAATCTTGAAAAAAAAAAAATTAAATCCTTCTTGATTATGTAAAAGAACACTTATTACCAAAATAAAAAGGCCAAAAAGCTACTTATTATGGATTAGATCTATAAAAAAATGCTGAGCTGCCGACTACAATGCATTAAATTACATCAATAGTGAAAAATCTTTACACTATCAATATATTATAACTCAAAATCTAACAATGATTATAACACATAATCTGTAAATTAATGCGACAGAGTCTGATGAACTAAATGCGATAACTCATCCAGTTGTCCAACTACATGAGACATATTCTGCTACATAAATTAAGGTTTTTAGAAGCGTAAGGTCTTTCAAACTTTGAATTTATCATTGAGAATTACTGTTTGCAACAGCAAGTACATGAAAAGTTAAGGAAAAGTAATGTGTTCACAGTCCCATATGCATAATATACTCCATCCGTTCACTTTTACTTGGTACGTTTTGACTTTTCACGCCCCTTAAAGAAATAATAAATAAAGTGAATAATTTATCATGATACCCATATTAGTTGATGCATATTTTAATGGATTTGAGAAAATAATTTGAAATAAGTAATAAATACTGTGGGTATAACAGGAAAAAAAAATTTGTTTGCTCTTGATATACGTAAATTGATAAGCAAAAATAAAAATCTCTTTAGTATACATGCCAAGTAAAAATGAACGAAGAAAGTATTTTCTTGTTCCTGCCACCTTCAACCTTTGGGGGTGGTAAATAGTAAGGAGCTAGAATAGTAAATAATAGGATGTTGAACTATCTGCCTTATCCAATGCATCTGTCAGTACTTTCAAAGATAAAGGGAAAAAATGTATTTCTTTTCATTAGTCTATACTTTTATGGACAAAGTTGTGTGCAAATTTTGGTAGGTGGTAACGGGAATTTGGCAAATTAATCGAGATGCGCATAAAGTAAAAATTAGTAAATACCCCGTGAATGTATAGCTTATCTATGTTCAAAATAGCCCGGATACTATCCTAAAAGAAAAAAAGAGAGAACACATGCAATGTACTTTATGTAATAAGTTAAATTATACCGACAATATAAAGTGTAAAGATCTTTATATTATCAGTATCCATAACTTAAATCCAATAGCAATTTCACATTGTCTGTCATTAGACAGAGCCTGGTGAATTAAATGCGATAAATTATGCAGTTGTCCAACTACATGAGACATGTTCTGCTACATAAATTAAGGTTGTTGGAAGCATAATGCTTTTCAAACTTTGATATTATCATTGATAATTACTATAGACTGTTTGCAACAGCAGGTACATTGATAATTACTATAGATCCATATTATATTATAGTATTTCCTTGTTTCTGCCACCTTCATCTTTGGAGTGGTAAATAGTCAACAAAAGGAGCAAGAATAGTACTAAATAATATGTTATAGAACTAGCTGCTTTATCCATGTCATTAATCTCAAGGGAAGGATAATGCTGATCAATATTTATTTCTCCTCGAACTATTTTTTTATACTAATAGACTAGTACTCAAGGGTGTCTCCTATATATCATTAAGATAGGCGAAAACTATGTCCGTTACCTGCGTTGGTAGGAGATAACGATGAAATAATTGAGGTGCACGTAATGTGAAAGTTAGTAAATATTCAATGAACTAAGTGTCTAAACTAGCCCGGACAATACCATTAAGAAAGAGAGAAGATAACACATGCAATGTGTTTTATTTTAATGGACTCACATGTCTGATGTGTTAGATCAAGTTAAAATTGTTGTTTGAACAACATGTAAAGCAAAAAGAGAAAAAATAATAGTACTATTATTTTGTTATCCGGTCTGTAACAGTTCGACAGATCTGATTGGCATAATGTAATGATCATGTTAATGTGGTCATTGTCTTATAACAGACACTTCATATATTTTTTTTTTCCTTTTTTAATAATAGTAGTATCCGGATCAACTTACGCCAGAGGCGGACACACATTATGGGTTGAGAGGTTACGGCACTCTGAAACTTCGGCAAAAACTCCATGTATACTTGAAAATATCTTCAAAAGATAGTTAGATATTAGCATATGTCCCTGTATCAATCTTTATGAGCAGTGATAAATTTATATTGAATGTCATGCTGCCCGCGACCTCAAATTCTGGGTCCGCCTCTGACTTACGCCTAGTTCAATTATTTGCTTCTACCGGTACTAGTACCAAATAAGTCTGACCATATAGAGCTAGTTACCATCTATATAAAGACCAGCAGAGCAACATGTGAGTTCTCATATTGGATAAGAAAGTTTGAAATTTTGGTAGAGAATTTGCTTTATTGCCCCAATATGGCATGCTTAAACATGTTGAACAATGATCAACAAGGACCCTACACAACAATGGGTCCAAGAATATCATTTTCCAATGATTTTCTTGATACTCAACCACCCCATTTGAGGCATGAAAATGGCTACAAAGAAGCTCCGGTGTCCTCGGATTTCGAGTTCTCTGTTCCTGGCTACAACATGATCTCTGCAGATGAACTTTTCTCCAAAGGCAAATTGTTGCCATTGAGAGTGAACTCTAGAGCTACAACTCTTAAAGATGAGCTTCTTGTTGATGATGACGATGATTATGATGATATTTTTTCAAGAATGGGAAAGGGGATGAGAAGTTGGAAGCAACGTTTGGGGTTGAAGAGATCACAAATTTTGCCACAGAAAGGTGATACAAATGGTGGAGATTTAGATATAATAGATGAGACAAAGACACCTGATGACATGTTTGCTAATATCACAGGTAATCAGAGACGGATTCAAGATTTACAGTTAGTAAATTTGGAGTGAGTGCGAGTTATTTTATATTATTATTTATTAACTTCCTTACTTATTTTATCCGTTTTCAGGAGCTAACTGATAGGATTTGAAGATGGAGGAAGCAATGATATCGTTCGATCTAACCAAGGTGGAAGAAATTTAATTTTCTTGTTGTTGGGGTGTTTTTGGAGAATTTTGAGGTTCTCTTGAAGAAAATTGATCTCTTCATCATGTACATATCTGCATCTTTTATTTATTAATGTTTTGTAAAAATAACTTAACTTCATGTACTTTGCTGTAATCATATGTATTTAATTTGTTGGACAATAGAAAACTCATCAATGACGACTGACTTTGGAAGCGGAACACGAACCCATTTCCGCTATTCCGGGTTTCATTAAAGTCAAGGCCAAATACAAGATAATGTACTAACATGAATTGCCCAAAAGTATAACGGAGGATAAATTAAGATATTTTTCTGTAGTAGCAGAATGAACACGAGATATTATTGCAGCATCCGCCAATGCAGAAAAACTACTAAAACTATTGTCTAGAAGCATCAAAACAAAACCTTTCAAAATAAATGGCAAATATTTAAACAAAACTAGTATAAAAAAGAATCTTTAATTAGTTTCTGCACCTGTCATTACTTGTAACACGATGGACATGTTCTCTGAACTAGATTACAAATTGATCAGCTAGAATTTCCTGCTAGCAAAACCAAGTCCAAGTCTCTATATATCACCCGCAATTTCGCAACTGCACTACTTTGGGAGGTTAGGCATGTCCATTCAAGGTTCAGAGTTTGTTCCTTTTTACTTGAAAATGTAAAAGATCAGAACTTTCCAGGACAACATTTTGTACTGCAAAAATCATAACCAGAATGATGTTAGGCAGTGGGGTGGATAGTAAGAATGAGCATTACGCTATGGCCTACAACAAGCTGCTGTCGAGACTCTCAGGTTTGGACTTGATCTATACAAATATGGCTTCAAAGTTTGCGCATGGGTGGCTTTCGATGTGATTCCTAAAATCTGCGTCTCCTTTGAATTTAAAGGTGTACAATGCCTGTCGCTGTGTCATGCCGAGAGGATATACTCTGTAGAGCTTTAGTTCATCCCCTCCACGTAGTATTTGAGGTCTTTCTTCTTTCCAAATGGGAACATGCTTTAGAGATTTGAACTTCGACAGTACTGCAGATTCAAAAGCCTCCAATGACAAATTAGATGACCTGCAAAGGTTCCAGCAATAACGGTGATTCAAAGATAACATAAGACTTGCCAATGAGACATGAAACAGTTTGTATATGCTCAGCAAGTAAAAGGAGAAGTGCAGGAGAGAATTCACATTATGACATTGGTTGTCCATATTTCTTTTTCGTGGCCGGATCCCCCCAACTTTAACCCCCCAGCCCTATTCTAGCTTTACTTGTGAACCAAACACCACTTGCCAAATATTTTCCGGAACTTCCCTAGTTAAGTCTATCAAATCGATCAAGAAATACTTTAGATAGATTGACATTGATTTTGTGGAATATCCAACCACAAACATGTAAACTACTTTATAAGCCCATAGACCATGGCTCCCAAGCATATACTTCTCATACATCGAGAGTAAAACACAGCGAATAGTTACTCAAATAATTTGATCAATATGTCTCACCCCTATTTGTGGTCAGCTCTATGAATCCTCTATATACATTCCACTCTTTTCGGATCCTTTTCATTCCAATATTGGTAAACAATTTGATCATCATGGTACATATTAAACATAAGAACAGTGGCACAGGAACATAAACAGAAAAGGCACTTGTATACGCATGATATTTAGTCATGGCAGATCGAGAATACCTTAGGAAAACGGACTCCATATCAAACCTCCCTCTTTCACGTACATATACATGATAGACAGTTTCTGAACCTCTGGTACATTTGCAGGGACGTTTCGTAAATTTTGGACTCTTCTCTTCTTTCTCCCTAATACTAGTTGCTAAGAAGATACACAAACGACAAGAAGAGTGAACTGCTGCCATGTCAACCAGGGCTTTGAAAGAGTCAGATGGACCCTCAAATTTCCACCTAAACAATGAAAAGAAACCATTTGTTAGCAAGACCCAGGAAGTTTAAGAATCTTTAATAAATTTTGAAAGGAAAAGGTCAAATGCTAGTCCACACATGCAGAAGGGGACACACACACACAGAGAACAATCTTCCCAATTTAGGAGTTTTAGTTAGACCAGAACTATATATCAGTGTGTCATAAAATAGGATAAGATAATAAACTTTTGCAACTATAGAGACAGGCCAGTGTTACTTTCTCAATAACATGATAACAGAAAAGTACAGAAAGATGTTGGAAAAAAAGGAAGGGGGGGGGGGGGGGGGGGTTA